ATACTTCAAGGACAAGACCCTGGTTCATGTACCCATTTATGGAAATAATTTTTGTTTATTAATTATGGTCAGAAGTAACTGCCAGATTGAACAGGGTTATCGAGTTAGTGTGAATATCCTGATCCAATATAGGTGGATCAGCATGTTTCACCTATCTAACTCTGTTGGTTACTGTAGTGAGGGGGGTGGGGACAACCAATACCGACCAACCAGCCACCCCCTGGCCCAGCTTCAGGTTAAGAATAGCAGTATTTGTTTGCACTTTATAGCTTAAAGGTTTAGAAGGATGTTTTGTGGAGGCCCATTGAGCCCAGCCATTAATATGTTTATATTTGATGTTCTATTGCATGTGTGGTAGTTACCTATAGTGTGGTATAGTGGAATAGTTGGTACTGGCTAACAACTTGCTTTATTCATGCATTCCTCATGTCAGATCACATGTATTAAAAGTTGTTTAAAAAAAGAAGTTTTTTGTGTTTATGTGGATCTATGTTTTACATCGCCATACCCACACAGTTCTACTATGAAGAAGTACAGGATTTCTTTGCTGAGAGAGATGCCGGATCAGGAAGCAGAGCTGTGAAACAGTCCCTGGAGAAACCCCCATTATGATTCCAGGTTGATTCCTGGTTAGAATAAGCCCCCTGGCAACGTTTGCTGGTTGTAAGAGGTCAGTCCATGGGGATTCCTGGTTACAATAAGTTCCGGGCAACAAGTGCTGGTTGTAAGAAGTGATTCCTGGTCAGAATAAACTACTTGCCGTAAAGGGCGACTATGCTTGTCGTAAGAGGCGACTAACAGGATTGGGTGGTTGGGCTGGCTGACTTGGTGGAAGCATGTCATCGATCCCAATTGTGTGGATCGCTGCTTATGTCAATCACTGGATTGACTGGTTAAGACTTATTTACAGTCCGCCATTCCGTCCGAATATTATTGAGTGCGGCGTACAACAACAAACTAACCAACCATGATCATAGGTTTCATGCATGCAACTCTGCACAACTAATTGCACTGGGGCACCTGGACGACTAGGCCACACCTGCTCCAGCTTCCCAAGGCAAGGGAGTTAATCGACTATAAAAATCCAGTTTCCACAATTATTGCCAGTTATCTCCCTTGCCTCGGGAATATGCCCCTGTCCAAGTTTGGCACAATCTCATTAAAATCAGACCTCGGTTCTCGCTACCGCTAAATGAAGCTTTGTTTAGCGGTAGCGAGAACTAAGATCTGTTTTTAAAAAGACTGAGTTTGGCAGAAATTGCATTACATATTTGTAGTTGTAAAGCATCTGAACATCTCTGTACAGTCGTGTGTGACACGTAGTGGCACTTATAGATGACGCCCGTGAGGATCCGGGTTAATAGATCCTTAACAACCCATGCTTGTCGTAAGGGGCAACTAACGGGATCGGGTGGTCAGGCTCGCTGACATGGTTGATGCATGTCATCGTATCCCAAAAGCGTAGACCAATGCGCATGACAATCACTGGATTGTGTGGTCAAGACTCGATTATTTACAGACCGCTGTCATATAGCTGGAATATTGCTGAGTGCGGCGTTAAACAACAAACAAACAAACAAACTGACAGATGACAAAGTCCAATCTGTGAAAAATAATTTATTTCAGCTTGCATAAAGACTATGCACGCCATTCACTCTAACAATACTACTTTCCCAACAACACATTTCCCTCACAGAAATAACATACAAGTCACGAATAACCTGGGTCTTATAATCCGTTGTTAAATCATTATAAAAAGTAATGAACATGAAGAACGACCATTCAGGCCGACAATGCCACAGCCATATGTTAACAGGTACAGAAAACCTCCGACAATTGTATCAGCTCATGAAGAGATTATTTTTGCTTCCAGAGACTCTGTCACTTCTCCAACATTGTGCATTAAAATAGAATCAGATAATCAGGGCCCCATTCCACAAGGCGATCATAGCGCTTCGATTGTCGTCAGTCTATGTTAAAGTATGGGAGTATGACCTGAGCGATACGATGGCTTTGTGGATCGGAATGAGAATGATTTAACGCCGCTTTTAGCAATATCACGGCGGGGGAGATCTGAAATGGGCTTCATACATTGTACCCATGTGGGGCCTTCGGCGTGACGAACGAACGCTTTAACCACTATGCTACCCCGCCGTCCCCCAGATACCAGAACCATTTTAGATGTCACTATGGCACACAGAACACTTAATTCAAGTTACCTGCAAACAAACAATAAACCTTTATTTGGTCACACAGGTGTTTATTGCACAGTGGAACCTCGTTTAGTTGGGACCTTGTTAATCCGGACTATTCGCCAATGTAACGGGATACAAATTCAATGTTTTCCTGGAAACTGGCTCATAGGTACGAATTTGAATGAAAGGTTAATCGTATAAAAGATGTTCCACTGAAATTCAGCTAAGCTACATTAAAACAAAACGATTCCTTTTGATTAACTTTCTCTTTGGGAGTCCCCTTGTACCCCCGATGATTGAGACACAAATAGAATAACATCTGTCTTGTGCATGACGTCATTTTGACATCACCTGCTCTAACTGAAACACATGATTGACTTTACTACGTACCATATATACAATTCCTCGCAGCCTCATAGGGTTTATGAATCATGAAATCAATGTACTCATAACTACATCTCAAAAACGAATAAATAAATAACGACTCGCTGAAACAGTCTCTTTCGTGTAAATCTTAGAGACACCCAACCATACGATTTGGGTTCAAAAAGTGAAAATGCTTTTCATGATATTCTTGAATGTCCCAGGTATACCACATTCCGTTCTCAATTAACCTCTAAATTCTCAAAAGGTGATGTAAGCTTTAAAATTGAATACATTGTTTAATGATATAAACTTTTCAGAAAGTGTAAATGAAGTTATTTTTAGAGGAGTCTGTAAATATATTATTGCAAGGCTCCAATAGTTTTTTAAAAATATTTTCTCTTTTTCTTGTGCTACATTTCTTAATACATTTTCTATTTATATGTTATTGGTGGTGATTATATATGTGATGTTTCTCCGTAGAGTGTCGAGTAAGCAAGAGGTGCTTTTTCCCCAATCCAGATTGACATATCAATAAAATATGTTTAAATCAATAACGAAATCATATGTCTCTAAACACTTCCTCCATATAACGAGGATACCTCACGTCAATGGTGATGATGATAATGATAAAGAATGCACAAAAAACAATTCGGGACCAGTCACTTACAGTTCGAGTGGAGAGCTTGGGCCGACTGTCTTAGCATGCACGAATACTAAAACAGTATAAAATCCGCATGTGTATAAGTAACACGTACCTGTTTGTTGTCTTTCAAGAATTACCAACTTAAATAAAATTCAAGAATAATTCCGTGACGTCACAATTAGTATTGAAAAGTTCTTAATGTTTAAATATTCAATATTGTCTCAGGTCTCAATTTCTTCTAAGGCCCACCACAAAAAGTGTGCTAGGATTACCTCCCTTGATTTTCGACCGGCTGTCCCTTTGAATACCAAAATGAAAGTCCCTTACAAGGCCTCGTTTTAACGCACCCTCTGTACTAACGACATCAACAAGCAATATATTCTGACTAGCATGAAAACATCTCAGTGTGACACGTCTGTAACAAAGAAAATATTCCCATAATAAAATATAAGTCGGTTCCAAATGTTCTTATAACGGGGTATTTCCAATTAATATCGGAATATAGTAGGACATACTAGTATCAGTGAGCATTTTAATTTGATAAACGACTTTCCAATTCAAAGATAACATATTCAAAGTATAAATAGAAGGAATATGTTATCTGTGAATAGGTTTCTCATCAATGTTATAAATAAAAACTGTATATCAATACGTATGCGTCTCGTCTTCATAACTAAAACATGTTGACTTATTTCCGAAGAGGCTCGTGTCATATTAAGATTTCTCACTTTCTTGCAATGACACAGCCTCGATTATCCAGTGTATTACAGCATGACTTAAATCATAATAAAATGGAGATATACTACACTTGATAATCGAGGAAAGCAAATCACTAACATTCTCAGCTTGGTGTAAAGGGGGTTTGACAGGAGTTAAAATGCAATCAAAGGGATATTTTCTTCGATGCAACCATCAATGCCGTGATTACAGGTACTGTATAAACAGTGTTTCTTCATTCAACAAGCCCACTGTACCATTTGCTAGACATGGACCAGAGGACTAGCATACAATTCTGACACTGGAATGTTGACGCTGCATGGGGTAGATATTTGAGCATTGTGGATTAGGCCAGACTTTTTTGAAACTTGGTTTATGAATCCGTCAACTCTAAACAGACCCCAGAAATTCGAAAATAATAATGCAGAGCACTGATTTTCCATTCCCGGAAAATAACGAGAAATAACTAAAAATGTTGTTTTTAAATTAAAAGGAACTCATTTAGTGGCGCTAATGCAGACAAGACAATTGTTGTGGTCTCGTTCTCTATTACCCAACTTTATTTTCCTACATACATAACATTTTGAGAGAAAAAATACTTGAAATTGAATTTTCTCTTTTTTGTGGCCTAACGACTTACAGTTTTGGGCCAAATATCAAAAAAAAAGAAAAAAAGTCTGGCCTTAGCAGCTGATTGGTGTTGACACGGCGGTTCATGCTGGAATGTGCATCAGTATGGACCTCCCCAGTTGAGAGCATTTAATCAAAGGTCAAAAGTAGAAGAATCCTTGGGTAGGGTTCTGGTGGAGTCAGTGTTACACATAAAAAACAGACTACATCTGTACATGAACATGTACAGTGAACAAATATTCATTTGATACCTCTTTTCACACACAAAAACCGTGCTTTTGAATACATCGATAGCCTACATATCGATCCATAAAAAAATAGCCACCCCCCCCCCCCCAAAAAAATAAATAAAAAAATAAATAAATAATATATATATATATATATATATATATATATATATATATATATATATATATAATTAAAAAAAATAAAAAAATAATAATAAAAAATAATTTAAAAAAAAGTAAAATAAAAAAAATAAAAAAAATAAAGATAAAAAAATAGTAATTTATTTGAATTAGCCAAGATATTCGTAGTTGTTTCTCTCCCTATTTCTCTGGCACCCAACATTTTCCCGTCCTACTTAACATTTTGAAAAAATAAAAAATATTGATTTGCAATTTAAATCTTTTGTTTATACTTATTTTATCAACTGACCTGATTTAATAAAATAAAAAATCTATAAACAAAAAACGTCTGCTCTATAGAGATACATTCCAGTGTAACATACAAATCATAATGTAAAGGATAAAGTTCCTAAATAATTTTGATTAAAATCAATCTCTCCTTCCTCTTATTTGATGCAGATACCCTCTTCCAGACATGTTCATGAAAACCTCAAATACACACTCGTCTTGACCCCATCAATATGCCCACTACACACCTCAAAACGCTCAGTCATACGAATAAATATTCAAGTGAGATAAAGTATTTTTCATGACCCCTACCGTGGTTTTATTGCGTTACATTAAAGTAATTAAAGTCTGAAGTCTTTGTGAGGCAGTTATTACCGAGAGGCTGTCGTCACCTTCAGATAAGTTTTACCGCTGGATTGATGAGGACTACAGTGCTGTCTCTATTGTACTCTTGGTCTTTATTGTATGGTCGTGCTGTCTCTATTGTACTCTTGGTCGTTCTATCGTGCTGCCTCTACTTACTCTCTTGTACTATTGGTCGTTAGTTTATGGTGATGCGGTCTCTGCTGTATCTTGGTCGTTATTCTAAGGTCGTGCTGTCTCTTGTATTCTTGGTCGTTATTGTAAGGTTGTGCTGTATCTATTGTACTCTTGGTCGTTATTGTATAGTCGTGCTGTCTCTAGTGTTCTCTTGGTCGTTATTGTAAGGTCGTGCTCTCTCTATTGTACTCTTGGTCGTTATTGTAAGGTTGTGCTGTATCTATTGTACTCTTGGTCGTTATTGTATAGTCGTGCTGTCTCTATTGTACTCTTGGTCGTTATTGTAAGGTCGTGCTCTCTCTATTGTACTCTTGGTCGTTATTGTATGGTCGTGCTGTCTCTATTGTACTCTTGGTCGTTATTGTATGGTGGTGCTGTCTCTATTGTACTCTTGGTCGTTATTGTATGGTCGTGCTGTCTCTATTGTACTCTTGGTCGTTATTGTATGGTCGTTATATCGTGCTTTCTCTATTGTACTCTTGGTTGTTATTGCGTGATTATATCACATGTGATTTGTTTTTTTTATCTATGACCAAATTGTAGTGTGTCATTATGCAGACCCGTAGGAGCAGGGGGGTCCAGCCCCGTCCTCCATCCACACCCCATTACCCCCATTGATCTTTCATCAACATATTGTCACAAGGAGAACTCTGCTCCACCCGTCTACCCAACCGGTAACATCTGTACACATTCACAGTATTTGCAGCAAAGACGAATTTAGAATCAATACACTTTTATATGCAAATGTTTAGATTTAATGAACTACAAAAATGTATGTTTCGGCCACTAATGTTTGATCTGAAGGTAGTATATAGATACTGAGAGTCTGGAAATATGCCAGACATCTTCGCAAAGTTAGCCTGTTAAAATAAATTGCATGTTTTTCATGACCCACCCGGTCCTGGTACTTATATTTTTTAAACACTGTTCAAATCAAATGTCATTTTTGCAAAACATTACGATTTATTTACTGAGCCATGTCACTTAGGTACATGACATTCCCATAGGAACTAGCTGTGGTCATGGCTCTTCCTACTTAGTTGTATTGGAATGTAACCTAATTAAAAATATTTGCCACTCCCTACCCACTCAGATTTACAAATAGACAGATAATATTTATCTAACTGGCCTTACATGCAACCTGGGAGCTTTTCACACACATTCGTGTCTACTCGTGTCATTCCGGGCCATGCCGAATGACTCCGGAAAGACGCGAGTAGCAACGAATAGTACCCCTGAAGCCAGGAGTGACGGAACATTTGTTATAACAGTATCAGCACTTTCTAGCTGTATACCAGAGATCACACACAATATACGGTCTTTGAAAAAAACACATTTGTAAAAGTTTTCTATTTGTGACGTTATGGACCATTCCCGGACTCTACCGATGCGTGCCGAGTGCTTCACCAGCCTGCCTCTTTCGCCATTTCGTCAGCAGCTGTTCTGTTAAACTGGAAATGGGGATTCGTGGGCCAACTCCATTTCTGTGAGACATCCCCAGGGACGCAAGGCTCCAGTGTGATACTCTTGGCATCCTTCACAGTCAGACATGTGTTGGTCATCTGGTGAAGAATCTGACCTTCAACCTGTTGGAGAGAGAGAGCACCCTCAATTATCCAGCGTATCGTATCCAGTGGCGGATCCAGAGGGCGGTTCTAGGTTCTAAGAATCGTGGCCTCACAATTGTTGTCATGTATTTTGTTTTTTGTTGTTCAACGCCGCACTCAGTCATATTCCAGCCATATTACGGCGTTCTGTAAATATTCGAGTCTGGACCAGACAATTGCAGTAATTAAAGATTGATTGATGTTAAAAAAAATCCCCCCCCCCCCCCCCCCCCCCCAAAAAAAAAAATAAAATAAATAAAATGAAATGAAATGAAATGAACTAAAATAATGGATTGCATATTGTGTTTTTATTGTGAATTTTTGGGGTGGACAAATGGCCCAAGGGGACCCCCCTCCTCATTTTTTAAATCCTGGATCCGCCCCTGGTTCCTTAATGACAGTGAACAGCAATTCAGTGTCCTGGTCTGTCAGCTTGAGTGGAGTGACGGAGTGAGTTGAAACCCACGAGCACAGGTATATGGTGCTGACAAACCTAACACTTGGTAAATTAGCAATGTTTAAAACTGTCGTCCAAAAACCGACATTTTAAATTGTTTTGAGTAACTCTTCTCTTGCAATTTAAACAATTATCAAAGTAATTATCAATCTTTTTGAGAGAGCTTAAGGTCAGCAAGAATGATAGCAGATAGTTGTTGTTGTTATTGGTTTGTTGTTTAACGCCGCAATCAGCAATATTCAAGCTATATGACGGCTGTCGGTAAATAATAGAGTTTCGACCAGACAATCCAGTGATTGATATCATGAGCATCGGTCCACGCAATTGGGATCGATGACATGCATCAACCAAGTCAGCGAGCATGATCAACCGATCCCGTTAGTCGCCTCTTACGACAAGCATAGTCGCCTTTTACGGCAAGTATGGGTTGCTGAAGACCTATTCTACCCCGGATCTTCATGGGTCTAGCAGATAGCGTCTGAAGCATAACATTCCGTATTGTTATTGCATATTGTCACATGACATTTTGTATTTTGTTTTGTTTAACGCTGCACGTGAGTTCAGCAATACTCCTGCTATATGACAGGTGTATGAAGAATGGAGTTTCCGTGGGATTACACAGCTGCTGTCTTCCCGACTTGTGGAGTTGGGTGGTGGAGTTGCGTTGTAACGGAAGCTGCAGTTGGTGTACGTTACTGTATGCGTGCGTGTGTGTATTTTGTTAAACGGGTCACTCAGCAATATTGCAGCTCTATGTCTGGGACCTGTAAATAATCCAGTCTGGATTAATTGACACGAGTGACCACAAATAAACAACTCACTTCCATGGCTGCGATCAAGACACATACCTTTTTGAACGTCCACACCTGTGTCGTCTGCTCCGACTTGCACATGGAGGTGGAGGGCGCCTGGTGCACGCCGGGATAAAAGTCCACGCAGTAAATGTTATGGCGAATCTCCAGCATTTTGTCAGATTCCCAAATTGTCTGCATTCAGAAAGATTGCGATGTTTCAGACATTTACAAGCTGGGTGAAAAACCATTTATGATTTAAAATTTTAAAATCGACGGAAGTGACGTCAGACTTACCCCAGTGTCACAAGTGAACATAGCTAACGGCTGCTCCCAGCCAGGAGCCGACAGACACAGGCCCGTTCCTACATGAGAAATCTGCAGCAAAAAGCATATCAGTTGACAAACACATTGGATCCACCAAATTACACACTTTTCCTTTTGGTCAACTACAATACACAAAGCTAAGCCAAATTAATGAATTATTATTTGGACATATAGAAAAAATAGTTACCTGCGTAGTGTGTGTAAGGGAGTGAGTTGGGTTTAACGCCGCTTTTAACAGCATTACAGTTAGATCGCGGCGTGTCAGCTCAATGTGGGAGGAAAGCCCGAAGTGATGCAGGTCTCAGACCGTTACCACATCGGTGAAACCCACGGGCACGGGTATGACCCAGGTCTTCGGCGTGACGAGCGAACGCTTTAACCACTAGGCTAGGCTACCCCATTGCCCATTTCTGTAGTAAACGTAGGAGTCCGCCATCTTAAGAACAATATATGGCGGTGCTCGCCTCGTGGAGCATTCGTAGCTGTACTCAAATAAACATATTTTGTATTGACCCATCTATCCTAGGTGGTCTCGTAGGTTACATGGGAAAAATAATATGCTTATGGGTGTACAGCTGCGACTTCCTGTGCTACGACCTAGAGTACAAATCACCTTCGCAGTGCCGTCAGGTGGCGCTCGTGTGTCAGTGAGATACGCGTGAGGAAAGCAACGAAGTGAAGGCGCTTGGGGCACCTACGGAAGCCTTTTAGGGCCATTTAAAAAAAAAAAAAATTCGATACTATCTTGAAATTTCAAGAAACTAAGTTGAAATTTCAAGATACTATCATGAAATTTCAAGATACTAAGTTAAAATTTCAAGATACTATCAACTTCTATATCTTAAAATTTCAACTTAGTATCTTGAAATTTCAAGATAGTATCGAAAAAAATAAAAAAGCAAATGGCCCTAAAAGGCTTCCGTAGGCACCAGTGGGTACATGCTATTTTTTCTTACCTGCCCGAAGTGGTCTCCGGAACCGGAAATGAACAACTCGGGGTAGATGTTCTCCAGATACCAGTCAAAGTGCTTACACTTGAGTTTACTACGTAGCTCCTTGGCCCCGGTGATGTCCCCGAAGTCGGACTGTGGGCATACAACAGTGTCACGTGGAGCATAGCGGGTTTTATCTGTACAAAATCATCACTGTCAAATACAACGTCATAATTCATCCCATTCGATAAAACTGAGATGTATTGCACTTCACCGTTGTGTTCGTAGTGAACCAGTCCAGACGAATTTTTCGGTAAAATTATCAAAATTCTGAGGCTGAAATTACAAAATTCTACTGCAACTCATTTTTCGAAAACTCGAATTCAAATCTGAAACGAAGCAATTCCAAAAAATGTCAAATTTAACAGTTATCATTGGATCAGAGAGACATAAAATTGTGCAAACAAATATGCAAAGTGTCGCTGATATTTATTTACGGTTGGACGTATATATAGTTAATGTGGTCATAATACCACGAGAACGTATAAAAGTGGGAAATATTAATTTCAAATTTCGTTTTATTGTAGGATTCATATTTTGTATGTTTGAATCACATATTAAATGTTTGTGCATCATTGGAGTTCCAAATTCGATAGAAAAGCTTGAAGATAATGAAAATTGGTGTGTTGTTGATTGAAAAAGGCGATATTTTTAAAATTCTGCGATGAGTTTTTCTGCAATTTTTCCGCGCTCGCGGAATTGCAAAATTCGTTTGGGACTGGTAAACCAGTTTTTCAGGGGATAGGAATTCCTTCTGTAAAGCCTCCTACGAATCTCTGACAAATGGCAGCAGCAGGGAAATACACATTTGTTGTTGTGGTGCTGCTTGCGCACTACTTAAAAATTGGTGGTGTTACATCATCTAAAGAGACAAAAGAAAAGAATCACATACGGGTGAGAAGGGGTTGCTCTTGAAGTGGAACCACTTGTACTCATCCAGCCACACTTCCGCCACGCGCGCCGCGTTCTTGGACAGGAACGTGTCCCCAACGTTAACATACGGGGACTTGAGGCGAAAGATGTGGCCCACCCTGGAGCATGGGCTGATGAGGATCTTGCCGCCGCACATCCACAGCTGAGGAGGGGGAGTATATTTTGTAATACATTTACACCGATTAACAGATATAACATGCTCAAACAGCGATTGTTGATAGTTCTTAGATTAACATATAGTCCCAGAAATATAGTTATTTTCTTAGTGTCATCTAAAAATATTTATCAACAAAATATAAAATACACTCCAAATGGAGCCAGGTCAATGGTTAATTTCAGGACTGAGGCATCTAGAAACGCCAAATCATTCTAGACTTGCGTTGGGTTCCTTTTTGAATTTATTCTCTAAGGTCTGTTAGACAGACTAGCCAGTTCACTTCTTAATGACATCCACACTGATGAATATATTGAGAGATACCATCGTTTCCTTCTGTCCCCTCCCCACACCGTCACCCCAACTGAATGTTACCTTGAGTGACAGCTCCAGGTTCTCCCCTCCCCACACCTCCAGGCCTGTGTCATACAGCCCTATGCTGCTGAAGTATTCCTTGTTGATGGCGAACAGTCCACCGGCCAATGTCGGGGAGCTGTGGGCGAAACAAACGGTCATCTTTATTTCTCTAATATTCGGTGAGCTATGACAAAGACAGCGTCAAGACCGGTAAACCAAAACCAGTACCTGTTCTTTGGTTTCCCATAATGATTGAATATTAAATTGTTCAACAAGCCAGTATAAACGATCAACACAATAAGGGCTGCCCGAGATATCATTACTCCACGTCATAGTGAGTGAGTGAGTGAGTTGGGTTTAACGCCGCTTTTAACAGTATTCCAGTTATATCACGGCGAGTCAGCTTAATGTGGGAGGAAAGCCCGAAGTGATGTAGGTCTCAGACGTTTACCACTTCGGTGAAACCTACGAGAACCGGTATGGTGCTGACAAACCTAGAAACATAATCGGGGCAAATCGAGATTCGAACCCACAAACATACATTTCCAAGGGACGCAACTCTGCACAGCGAATCGCGGCGCCTTAGACGACTGGGCCACCCGTGCCCCCAAGCCCTGCCAGAACAATGCTTTATTTCAGGAACTGAGGCAATCTGAACTTGCTCAATCATTCTAGACTTGAGTTGGTCTTTTTTATTTTATTCTCTAGGATCTGGGAGAGTACACTAAGAGCTATATAAAGAGATAGCACCAGTTTTCTGTGTGACGGCGGCCTGTATATAATCTAGTCAGGACCAGACAAACCAGTGACTGATAAAATGAACAACGTTCCATGTCGTCATGGTCCCATGAGACGCAATAAAAAAAAACATCGATCGATCCATGCAATCGCCTCTCGGGATGAATGCGATTCGGGGTAGAATAGGTCTTCAGCAACCCATGCTTGCCCTAAAAGGCGACTATGCTTGTCGTGAGAACCGACTAACGGGATAGGTAGGTCAGGCACGCTGACTTGGTTGATGCATGTCACCAATCCCAGTTGAGGGGATCGATGCTCATGATATCAGTCATTGGATTGTCTGGTCAAGGCTCTATTATTGACAGACAGCCGTCATATAGCTGGAATATTGCTGAGTGAGGTGTTAAACAACAAACCAACCAGCCTCCTACGACAATCGTAATTACGGGGACCTATTCTAACCGGAACCCATGCAGGGCAACGTACACAAACGGATCTGCCATTGTGGTCCTGTAGCGATTGATCCTTGGCGGGACTGAGATCCAGTTGAACGTCATAGACTCTGCACTGAAGCCGCCTATGTTGTTGTCGGCGTTGTTGATACGGAAGTCGTCCTTGTCGATGACGTCGATGGTGGGGGTGACAACGGTAGAGGGGTTGTCTTTGATGGGCACTAACAAAGGCTCCAACCACCCTGTGGCAGAAAAAGTATGACTGAATCGTGTACGCAGCTGTTCGAATCGTGAATTTTATAGGTTTATTTCACGATTTTTAAACATGGATTAACGTTGCACTGGTATCCTTTTATCATTGCACTTACATAACCACCTGCATGATCATGTGTGTTTGTGTTTGTGTGTGTCAGAACTGTTGTGATTTTGCGTTTGCTTCTAGCTACCTACCATTGCCACACTCGCAGTGGGAGTCGAGGAACACCAGAACCGGAGCCTTGGCGAACTTGATACCCTCCATCCGGGCTCTCACCAGCCCCAGCCTCCTATTGGTCCGGACCACGTGCACTTTCGGCATGGCGGCCGTGTACTCGTCAAGCGGCTCACCCAGGTCCTCTGAAGAAAATAAAACAGAAAGTGGTGAGGTGAGGTGAGGTGAGGTGAGGTGAGGTGAGGTGAAATTGGTTTTAACGTCGCGTCTAAAATTATTGCACTTATATAGCGACGTGCATGCACGTGTGTGTGTGTGTGTGGCTGCTTGTACTTGTCCGGACTGTTGCCGATTTATAGTGCTAGCCCACTGAGATACCATGCCGCAGTTTAACATGAATACCCCACTCAGACACAATATACTGACTACGAGCCGACCAGTCCTTGTTTTGGCCCCTTAATGCCGAGCGCCAGACAGGGTAACAACAAGTGCCATCTTTAAAGGTCTTTTGGTATGACGCGGCCGGGAATCGAACCACGGAGGCGGTCACAAAACAGAAAGACATTGCACAATAACGTAAGCCTCGATTTGGTACAAGGCAGCGCTTGAAATGAGAGCTTGATAGCTATCTTTAACTACATTGTCCTCTCACCGAGATTTGATCCGTCGTCGACCAGCAGGATCTCCTCCAAGAGGTTGGCAGGGGTCCTGTTCAACACGGAGTGGATTGTCCGGAGGAGTGTTGACCAGGCCTCGTTATAAAAACAGATGACCACGGATACGGAGGGGAGATCTTTAGGGTAGAACTGGAAGGCGGCCTGACACCTGAAACACAAAGTACACGTCATCATCATCATCATCATCATCATCATTAAAACAGTCATGCTAATGATATACCCGAAGTCACCCAAATCCTAGTGAATAAATTAGGGAGGAATCAAACGCAAGTCTAAAAGGATTGGGTAAGTCTAGATTGCCTCAGCCCTAATAAAACATTATTCTGGGCTCCATTGGATTTGATTATATATTTTGTGGCCGTATGTTTTTAAATAAGAATATTTATTTCTGGGACTGAATGTAAGCATTGTTTGTGCTCCATTGGGATTAGACCTTATATCATGTAGATATATATTTATCATTAAGATAACTTAAGTCTATTTTCGGGCTAAAGTTTAGTCTGCTCTGATTTGTACAATATGTTTTGAGTGAGTGAGTTTTGTTTTACAATATTTTAGCAATATTCCAGCAATATCACGGCGGGGGACACCAGAAATGGGCTTCACACATTGTACCCATGTCGGAAATCGAACCCGGGTCCTCGGCGTGATGAGCGAACGCTTTAACCATTAGGCTACCCGACCGCCCCGCAGAAGAATGTAGTGAATGTATTGAAAACTCTAATTGGTTCCGAAATTCAACAAAATAGTTTGCCTCAGGTCATAAAGACATTGTTCACATGACGTACATAAAAAAATGTTTTGGTCAAAAGACAATATCTGGACTGCATATTTCGCCTCCGTGGTCCAGTGGATGGGACGGGGACGTCTCCCCCAAGAGCGGAAGGTTTCGGGATTCGATCCCCGGCTGCGTCATACCAAAATACATTACAAGATGGTATTTGTGGTTTCACTGCCTGGCGCTTAGGGGATAAAACAAGGACACGTCTCCTTCACTTGCACCTTTCTTCTTTCAACAAATATTACGTCGGTCGGGGTAGGCACAACTAAAAACAATTAACTTACTTTTGTCAAAATGGAGCAGGATATATTATGGCAATGATTTCTCAATCGTCACTCCAATGAAGTTGCCCTAAATATATCATGGCGAGGATCGTCTAGAGGAACAGTCAGGCAATGATGAAGTTATTGCTTATTACCCATAAGGTCGGACTTTTTTAAAGCTTGGAATATGAAAAATATTTAAACTTTTCTTTTCGACCCTCCGACCTGGAAGTTTGGTCCAAACATCCGCAAAATATCTGGCATAAACACATGTGGTGCCGATGGAACCTGTAGACACTTCTATAAACCACTTACTCTGGGACCCGTGAAAATCTGGGGTAGAAAAGGTCTTCAGCAACCCATGATTGCCGTAACAGGCGACTAGGCTTGTCGTAAGAGGCGACTGACGGGATCGGGTGGTCAGGCTCGCTGACTTGGTTGATGCGTGTCATCGTATCACAATTGTGTGGATCGATGCTCATGATATTAATCACTGGATTGTCTGGTCCAGACTCGATTATTTACAGACGTCTGTATGTGGCTGGAATATTGCTGAGTGCGGCGTTAAACAACAAACAAACAAAGAAACAAACAAAGCTTACTCTGGGTTCCTGAAGTCCGGCACCGATCTCACCAGGGAGATCTTGTCGCTCACAAACTCATTGAAGTGGTGGACGGAATCTCCTAGTTCAAACGCCGTCCTCTCCGTGGGATTCAGCAACGACGCATCGACAATAGACGCAGCTCCGCCCTCGCCTGAAAACAGTCATCCCTACAATCTGTAAAAGATGCTATTTGAGTGGCGACTATGTCAACACAACAGAACCAACTGTATGAAAATAATCTTCTCGTTTCAAAACACCTGCTCTGCATTTTCATGAAGCGGATTACAGCTAGGGGAGATTGACTAACTGATTTTAAGAGCGCTTCCAGTGAAACCGGATTTTGCATTCGGATTTGATATCTTTGAAATGACCAAGTATTGTGGTCGTCCACAAGCGCCCATCTATGTGTTGTTGAATACTACTGGGAGTTGTGTCCCTTAGATGCCAGGGTTCGCTACTTCTCGTTTCACTCCGTTTATCATCTTTGGTTTGTCAACATCAACACGTGTGCGATCACCTGAGGAGTAAAGTGTCTACGATCCCCAACTATAGTGTTATTACCTTGGTTACAGGACTGTACCTTACTGACCGCCTTGATATGATTGTTTGTTTGATTGATTTTTAACGCCGCAATCAGCAATATTCCAGCAATATGACGGCGGTTTGTAAATAATCGAGTTTGGACCAGACAATCAAGTGATTGACATCATAAGCATCGATCCACGCAAATTGGATACGACATCAACCAAGTCAGCGAGCCTGACAACCCGATCCCGTTAGTCGCCCCTTACGGCAAGCATAGTCCCCTTTTACGGCAAGCATGGGTTGCTGAAGACAAATTCTCTACACGGATCTTCACGGGTGAGGGGCGGTTGGGTAGCCTGGTGGTTAAAGCGTTCGTTCGTCACGCCGAAGACCCGGGTTCGAATCCCGACATGGGTACAATGTGTGAAGCCCATTTCTGGTGTCCCCCGCCTGATATTGCTGGAATATTGCTAAAAGCGGCGTAAAACCATACTCACTTCACGGGGGAATTTATTAACGGATGCGGGAATACCGAAGTAACTGACGGCTTTTTGTTCTTACAGTCCTAGCAGAAGTCAGTTACTTAATAGAGAATATCACCCGAGTGTCTTATTACAGACAAGATGTGTTCTTGTTGTGCCTAAATACCCAGAACACCCAATTTCATTTTGGTGTCCATTTTGCCAAACATTACAAAAAAATCACTATGGTGGGTCAGTACACAGTCTAACATTGCGATGATGCTACGGAGTGTGAATGGAGTAGTGTGTTGGATAAAGCATGTTCTAAACACGGCAAGGGTTCGCTTCTAGAAAGGCGCGTAGTCATCTTGTCCATTGTTTGTGCTTGTACCCCACTCACTTACTCATTCACTCACTCACTCACTCATTCGCCGAAGCGTCACCTACCAAGACCCGGATGTGCCTGGAGAACCTTCATTTTACTTTTCTTCTTCGGAACATCTGCATGAAGATTGACTGAAAGAAAAAAAAGATGATATTAGTGTGTTACCTAATCACGAAAAACATACATATCTTATTAAAGTGTTCACATATTTTACACAGAACGTTTACAAGGATCTCGTGCTCCACAAACATGGGTCACATTTAAGTCCATTGATACTACGTTTACTCTTAATTGTGGCTGTACGTGTTTTATCTTCCAAAACTGGCTTCTAAAGGAGATACCGTCACAAAGTGTGTGTGAGTTTGGTTTAACGCCGCTTTTAACAGTATTCCACTTATATAGCGGCGTGTCAGCTTAATGTGGGAGGAAAGCCCGAAGTGATGCAGGTCTCAGACGTTTACCACTTCGGTGAAACCCATGAGCACGGGTATGGTGCTGACAAACCTAGAAACATAATCGGGGCGAACCGGGATTCGAACCCACAATCATAGGTTTCTGGCGTGCCCAAGGGACGCAACTCTGCACAGCGAATCGCGGCGCCTTAGACGACTGGGCCACCCGTGCCCCCACCGTCACAAAGACATTGCATCACAATGCCTTGCAGATCATAGATCATAGCGACGTCATCAGTTACATCACTAATCTCGTTGTCACTATACACGGGGCACGTTACTGTTTACAAACGAAAAGAGTTGGAGGAATAATTTTGGATGATATCACCCTCGTGTCTTTTGATATCAAATATATCAACACATGTCAATAAAGTTCTTAATCTCCCCGTCAAGCATCGATTTTTTGTTACACTTGCATCGACTGTAATAAGACACTCGGGTGATATTCTCTATGAAGTAACTGACTTCTACTATGACTGTAAGAACAAAAAGCCGTCACTTACTTCGGTATTCCCCCATTCGTTAAAAAATTCCCCCGTGAAGTGAGTGAGTATGGTTTTACGCCGCTTTTAGCAATATTCCAGGAATATCAGGCGGGGGACACCAGAAATGGGCTTCACACATTGTACCAATGTCGGGAATCGAACCCGGGTTTTCGACGTGACGAGCGAACGCTTTAACCACTAGGCTACCCGACCGCCCCTCACCCGTGAAGATCCGGGTAGAGAATAGGTCTTCAGCAACCCTTGATTGCCGTAAAAGGCAACCATGCTTGTCGTAAGATCGGGATCGGGTGGTCAGGCTCGCTGACTTGGGTGATGCATGTCATCGTATCCCAGTTGCGTGGATCGATGCTCATGATGTCAACCACTGGGTTGTCTGGTCCAGACTCGATTATTTACAGACGTAGCTGGACTATTGCTGAGTGCGGCGTCAAACAACAAATAAACAAACAACAAACAAACAAAACTGTCTTACCTATGTGATCATCCCTCGTGTCATCGTCCCTCTTCCAACTTTTGATTTCTTCATATTTTACATCATCAACATAACTATCATCCATAACAACCGGCGCCCGGTCGCCAGCTGCGTGATGAGACGCCGGTTTACTGCCCCTCTCCGCATCAAACAAAGCCACTTTAAGTACAACCAGAAACCACAATATAGGCACGATCAAGAGTAAATATATGTAGCGTCTTCTACCAGCGTTGGCTTTTGGCTTAGCCATTTCCAAATCACTGTTGCCCCCCGTTTCCTCGAGAGACCGGACGCCATTTGACCGTTGCTTGCGGCGTTCTATCATGGCGACTGTGGTTATGACAAGTCTTGCACGTTGTCTGCAGACATCCACTGAAAGGACGCTTGAAAAAATAAGAACAAAAATATCATTCATAGTAAACAGTTTACGCAGAGTGTACACCACGGTTTTCATACCTCCATAAACTCAACAAAATATTAATTAAAATCAATTCTAATAAATAAATGAAGGGCCAAAAGGATTTGCACTTTGGCCCTTTTTGCATATTATTGCATAAATAACATCTATGAGTTCTTGTCTACTTGTAGAATAATTATTTTATGTTTTCATTGATAAAGTGTTTTTTTATAAAATATAGCTACTTAAAGTTCTATAAAAGGGCCAAAGTCAAGCTCCAAATGGGCCAACGTCCCTTTTTGCTAGATTTGGCCCTTTTAGCTCTCATATCAGTGTGTGGTTGAGACTGGTTGTTCAGAAGATTTGAAAGTTTCGAAACATTATTATTATGTTTCAACTAGTTTAACAAAGTAGGCATTAGTTTAAATTATTTAAAAGAGCTTCAATAGTATGTGTTTATACTTTCAGTAGAAGTTTTATCAATCTCACATGTTAAATCCCATGCAAATGACATTGACCCTTTCCGCCCTTACACAAATTAAAAACGTAAGTTAAGTTCCTTATTTGCATGTTTTTTTTATAGCAACATTTATATGTCTGCTGTCAGAATGTGTTAAAGTTTAGGAATTTATCTGTGAATAAAAAATGTTCATTTGCAGGTATACACTTATTGCTGTCATTACTTTACTCAAAGTGAGTGAGTGAGTGAGTATGGTTTTACGCCGCTATTTTATTCCAGCAATATCACGGCGGGGGACACCAGAAATAGGCTTCACACATTGTACCCATGTCGGGAATCGAACCCGGGTCTTCGGCGTGACGAGCAAACGCTTTAACCACTAGGCTACCCGACCGCCCCTACTTTACTCAAAACGGACTCCACATGAAATTGGCCCTTATGGCTCTAAGCTCCTCAAATACGTCAAAAATAACTTAACAGACTGCCTGTTTAACGATGAACACAAACATAACTTCAGGCAGCAATACGAAATCGGTGACAACGTTCAGTGCAATATTATCAGCCAATCAGGAAACAGCAGTTATTTAGCGGGGCCTTATTTGGTTTCGGTTGTTGGAAAAATGAAAGCATTTTTAAAACACTTGTTTAAGTCTATCAAATGCCGCAAATTATAAGGTTGGTTTGTTGTTTAACGCCGCACTCAGCAATATTCCAGCTATATGACGGCGGTCTGTCAATAATCGAGTCAGGACCAGACAGCCCAGTGATTAATATCATGAGCATGGATCAACGCAATTGGGATCGATGACATGCATCAACCAAGTCAGCGAGTCTGACAACCGATCCCTTTAGTCGCCTCTTACAAGAAGCACAGTCGCCTGTTACGGCAAGCATGGGTTGCTGAAGAATCTATTCTACCCCGGATCTTCACGGATCGCAAATTATGAGGAGATACACATCAATTAGCCTTTTCATAAAGTAACTAAAACGCAAACATTCACGTGCATTAAAAGAAAGAAAATTGTCTTTATTTTAACCACCGTGTGTAACGAACTGCTTGTCAGGTGAGCTTACATTGCCTTGCAGCAATGGTATACCATAGAATCGACATTTAACAACTCCAAACTGACTGACACAACATATTATTGTCAAATCAATCTGAAATCTCCTTAAAATCAGAGCTAAGTACTCGTTACTGCTACACAAAGCATTAGCGAGCACTGAGACTTGATTTTAAGGAGATAGAGTCAATCTGAATATCAACTGCTTTGATCGCTCAGACGAACGGCGTGAGCGTGTCGGTTCCCAACTTAATGTCATAACAGCTCACTGGACATCATCGTTATAACTAAAACTAATGACAATAACGTGGAAGCTATTCAAATCTGATTAACTGGTCAACATAAACAGACGTACATCGACAGACGTGTATTCAACTGATGAAGGAGCAAACATATACTCAAAGAATTTGTGTTCTTCAAAGAAGTTGACATCCATAAATTCTCTCCTATGTGTATCCCATCTTCATGCCATTCAAAGACCTGGTTATTTTAGCTTCATGTAATTTGAATCGGACTCTATACGAAACTAATGTAGATGTGCCGAGTGTCGTTGTCATAATATACTACTAAAAAGATTAAGGGTCACCCGATTTTTAATATTACAATAGTTAATCTTCCATGCCATGATAGAATAGTAATATTAAAGAATCGAATGATCCTTAACGTTTTTTGAGATCCTTAATATTTTTTTAGAAGTATAAAAAGGATATGATTATAACACACGAAATAATGGAGGAAGCGAAGCGGAAGAAAAAGATACATTGTATCATTTTTGAAAACTTAGTGCTATTTATAGGCGATGTAAGGCCAGATTTGTTTCAAAAAGAAGTTCAAGAATCCGTGGATCCCCAAATAATAAAATGTGAAAAGTTAAAAAAATGTGTGTATTATTTTATCTTGAAAACTTCACAACAACGCAATATACGAAAACCGACAGATCCGTGTCAAAAATGGAAGGTTCATGACTGTAACCTCGTTTCTTTCCCTCCCGCCTATACTTTAGTACAACAACAAACACAAAGAAAACAAGGCTGGCCTTAGAACTTCGCATGTTTTAATTTGCATACGCATTTCAACCGCGAAGATGCGCGTTAGAATAGCCCTTCAGCAACCCATGCTTGTCGTAAGAGGCGACTAACGGGATCGGGTGGTCAGACTCGCTTACTTGGTTGATGCATGTCATCGTATCTCAATTGCGTGGATCGATGCTCATAATGTCAATCACTGGATTGTCTGGTCCAGACTCGATTATTTACAGACCGCCGTCATGCAGCTTGAATACTGCGGAGTGCGGTTGTTACAATAAACAGACAAACAAAAAGCATACGCATTTAACAAAGAAATATCCCTGACATTGATAGTTTCCAGAAATATAAAATATTGCCCGAATTAGACAGCCCACACAGTGCAGCTGTGGTTTCACAAAACGCAATGTGTGGTACGTTATTAATACAAATTCCAAGCTGCGATAATATAATATTTTACGTGATATGCCCAAGCAATAATTCACTGTACAATCGTTCTCGTAATGGATGGTGACTTCGCCTAATACCTGTAGTCGTGGTATAAAGCACATGGTCTAATTTCAAGAATTAAACACAAACGACATTGAGTGACAACTGCCCAGTATCAACACCGTAACCCGAGGCACACTTTAGTTATGCTCAGCAAGGGCCAAACGTAATTGTGACATCTCCCCGAGCGAGCGTACATGACATTTCGCGTTCCACACGTAGACTAAACACGTGGATACGGCGCACTATCTCTGTCCCTCGTTATAACGCAAAGCTCTATCACCGACACATGTCGATATATTTTGTACAGCGTTATTCATCTATTAATACGTGAAATATAATATATTGATATGAGAAATATCTTCATATATTTGTTTCGATATTTCTTGCACAGTGTTATTCATCTGTTATTATATGACATATAATATATTAATATTAGAAATATCTTCATATTTTTGTTTCTATACGTCCAGCAAGGGACTTGTTATTCTAGAATAGTTTCGCGTATATTACATACATTTATCAAAACGACAGCCCGTGCAAGGCTTAAATTATACATCATTTAATGAAAGTATTATCATATTCTTCAACAAATATCAAATGTCAGCCTCTATTATCATGTAAATTGCATTGACATTTCGTTTGCCTTTTCACATAACGTTTATCATTGTCAATGGCAAATATTCATTCAGCGTTCATAGCACAAAGCACAGATACCATACTGAATTGAATACATATATACCGTACTCTTAAGCATAAAAGCCGTGTAGAATCTAACCAACGACAAAGATAAGAGCGTTTCGCTCAACAACACCTATCACAGCAAAGGTGTTAACTGTAAACATGCAATATTATAAACGTGAAACGACTTACCCAATAAATTATAAATGCCCAGATGAGGATGTCGAGTGTGCGTCAAGTGGAGGCGAAATGTGGGAACTATCATTACATATTTACATATTTCGAGTGACGTGGCGTTTGCCTGGCAGAGACAAAACTAGACACCATTCAAGATTGCATCTGTTCTTTACACACATAGACTTGCCGAGGCTCCTAATAGGTCGCTCGCCATTATGCCCACGGCGCAGTGGTGTATATGAATACGTGTTATGAATACGCAGGTGGCAGAAGTTAACGCTTGTCGTGTTTGCCGACTTAATGGAGATCGTGTGAACACAATGGCAGCACGTGGAGTATTTTGGGTTGTGCGTAACAAGTGCTGTAACCCGGATCAAAGGGAGTCATAGTAGGACACGACAGCCCCGACCCCACCCAAATCGTCATATACATAAAGGGACATTACTCCGTACAAACGATCCGTTAATCGGGATATCCGCCAACTGAAGGACTTAACGGCGATTCAAAATATATCGTATATTGTCCATTATCTTTTCAACTTGCAATCAAATTTTGAGTGAACACTAAAAATGCATATTTTCAATGAATCTCAAAGACACATGTTTCAAAATCAATGCACAATGACTTCATTTAATGCACAACAATCGATACCTCAATGTGTATTTAAACATCTGTCCTACTGGATAGTGTGAACACTACTGACTGTCGAATGTACTCTATTTACTGCTGTAGATCGATCATGCGTAAAGTGACCTTATTTCTACCACTTGTACTGACCCTGGACCGCGGGCCGTGGTGAGGATTGGATGGACACAATGTCCTCATTTGTTGAGCTTGTTTCCATTGTAGCCCCCGTTCTGAGCATGTTTTAGGATATGGATCAGGCGCTTTATAAATATGTATGGTTATTATTGATGCTACTGCTGTTGTAATACTACTACTACTACTACTAATAATAATAATAATAATAATAACAACAATAATAATACTTATAATAATAATAATAATAATAATAATAATTATTATTATTATTATTTCTGAGTCGGAAGGCTGTGTCTAATCGTACAGCATGGGTCGTTTCATATGATTTTAAGCACTGGTTTGTCTAAACCAGACTCGACTGTTCAAAGAACTCTGGGATGGTACTAACTGCGGCGTCATACAATATTCATTCACGGTATACACATCCCGATCATGATGACAGCTAAAAGCACCCGTGTTCGCGGGTATCACAGTGTTGAGCGTCTACGATGTGCACCGTGACACCTTCACGTTTCACAGATCGTGATTCTCAAACTCATCATCTCACTTCGTTATATTCCCGTTACAGCTGTCACGCCCTATAGAGGTAAATTGTCTTGAATGAACAGCTGATCAAAATAACACATGAGTAGCATTGCGACCAGCTAACAGCTCCATTGCAACACAAGGTAAATACGTACTGTTTTACGCTGCTTTTGGTAACATACCAGCATTATCACGTGGTGGGGAGACCAGAATTTAGCTTCACACGATTTAAACAAATGAGGAATCGAACCCGGGCCTTCGGCATGACGAGCGAACGCTTTAACCACTAGGCTACCTCACCACTCCCTGATAAAACGAAACACTTACTTTTTTCTTCTGAACCGTGTATCGAATTCCTTTATGTGAACAACACTTAAGAGTTTAAACTAAAGCAGTTAAATCACATGTCTGGCATTTTTGTAACTTCTTTCTCGTCCAAGGCTTAAACTGATGTCTAAGTACAAAATTTAATTGCACTCGAAGCACCCTTCCGTTGAGCAAGTCTATACACCTGGACGTCAAATGAAAACTGAACACGTTCACTGTGAAAGTCAGGACCTGCCGTCTGTGTTATCGCTTACATGAGACAGTGAGCTGTCACGCCCGAGGAAATCCCCGCACATTGTACGTGGTTTGCCTCATTGTTCCGTTATAAGAACCTGACATGCTTCATTGCTCCTGTTATAAGGACGACTGGACTTCGCTAGTTCCCCACACACTTTATTTGTGTTAAAATTAAATAAATTCAAATGAAATTCTGAAGATTGCGTACTGTATTTGCAGATCTTTCTTTTATCTTTTGAGTCGTACTAATTTTTTTTAAATTGGGCATGCCTATTGCGTCAATATGACTATTGCAACTATAACTAATATTGCAATAGTTAGAAACAGTAGTTGCATACAGATAGCACCAATATTGCAGAAATAGCAACGCTGGTGAAATAAATTTGACATTTTCTGAGAGAATCCAGTATACATATTTTCTTTATTTTTTTCAATTCTTGAAAATTGCCAATCTTTTCTCAAACACTGTCAACAATTACCAAATGATTGGTCATTCGACTGAGAGCATTTAATACGCGGCGTCCCTCCACCTAACACAGTACTATGTCTTCACGGAAGAAACCTCAGATTCATAATCTGGACCAGACAATCCTGTGATGGATATTGTGAGTAACGATCCATACCGTGGAGTACAATGACATGCATCAACCAAGCCTGACCATATGATCCATGAGGTCGCCACTCACTACCAGCATAGGTTGTTGGGGACCTATTCAAACCCGGAATCCCAAAGTATATATTTATGCTTTGTTTTTAATGAGCCTAAAAGAGTAAAGGGTATCAGACATACAAGGATGCATGTCCCAGATAGAGAATAACTCTGTTAGCTGGGTCATACCCTCACATTGACACTTCTTCTCGACACAGGGGCCAGGTCGCAATTCGCTGTGCAGGGTTGTGTCCCTTGGGCACGTCAGAATCCTATGATCGAACACCAGTTCGCCCCGATTATGTTTCTAGGTTTGCCAGCACCATACCCTAGCTTGTGGGTTTCACCAAAGTGGTAAACGTCTGAGACCTGCATCACTTTGGGCTTTCCTCCCACATTAAGCTGACACGCCGTGATATAACTGCAATACTGTTAAAAACAGCGTTAGACCTAAATTCACTCACTCTCGATAAATAGAGTGAGTGGGTGAGTTGGGTTTTACGCCGCTTTTAACAGTATTCCAGTTATATCAAGGCGTGTCAGCTTAAAATGGGAGGAAAGCCCGAAGTGATGCGGGTCTCAGACATTCACCACTTTGGTGAAACCCACGAGCGCGGGTATGGTGCTGACAAACCTAGAAACATAATCGGGGCGAACCGGGATTCGAACCCACAATCATAAGTTTCTTGCGTGCCCAAGGGGGGCAACTCTGCACAGCGAATCGCGGCGCCCAAGACGGGGGCCACCCGATAAATATATGACACATCACTTATGTATTTATACAATATACACATTACTTTATAATTTCCTTAACATACTTTATCGCGTCGTTCCTTTTAAGAAGTGATTTCTGCAAACATAAGAGACCCGTGAAGATCCGGGTTAGGACAACAACCCATGCTTGCCATAAAAAGCGACTATGCTTGTCGTAAGAGGCGACTAACGGGATCGGGTGGTCAGGCTCGCTGGTTTGGTTGATGCATGTCATCGTATCCCAATTGCTTGGATCGATTCTCATAAATATCCATCACTGGGTTTTCTGGTCCTGAATTGATAATTTACAGACTGCCGCCATATAGCTGGAATATTGCTGTGCGGTGTTAAACAACAAACAAACAAACAAAAGATGGTAAGCATGAATATGTACCGTCAATGACTTACCGTGAGTAAAGTTCACATTGCCTGCGGGACAGACTCTACGTCAAGTTACATAACGCATTTATCAACATCATCGATTTGAAAGTTTCTTTAGATCAATGAGCGGAAATGTCACAAGAACAGTATGTTAAATGTCAAGGGAACAGTAGGTTAAATGTCACAAGTACAGTAGGCTGATTGATCATCGACTGATTGAGGGTACTGTTAACTGTCATTTCCTTTACATCACAACTTAATAACACTTACCGTTATAAATAGCAAATGCATGGAACGTTACGGATGCCGGTCATATAAGCAATCAGTCGTAAGAGTCGTAGAGGCTAAAATATGAAACAAAATTTATTCATAATAACATTCTTTCCTTTTCTCAAACTACCTTATACTACAGGATCATAATCAGTGCAAGTAGGCCCGTGAAGATCCGGGGTAGAATAGGTCTTCAGCAACCCATGCTTGCCGTAAAAGGCGACTATGCTTGTCGTGAGAGGCGACTAACGGGATCGGGTGGTCAGACTCGCTGACTTGGTTGATGCTTGTCATCGTATCACAATTGTGTGGATCGATGCTCGTGATATCAATCACTGGATTGTCTGGGGGGGGGGGGGGGGGGCGCAGCCTAGTGGTTAAAGCGTTCGCTCATCACGCCTGAAGCCTATTTCTTGTGTCCCCCGCCGTGATATTGCTAGGGTGTTGCTTAGTGAGGCGTAAAATCATACTCACTCACTCACTGCATGATGGGAAAGCAACAGTGCTTATAAAATTGAGCCCACTGGCATTCATCTAAGAATGCCCCACCAGTAAAACGTGTTTTTTTTAATATCATTCTTTATTTTTTAATGAAACGAAAACTTCCTTTATTATTTCCAGAAATATATTCAGGCGGGCGAATGGATGTATATAAAACAACTTTTTATTACTTTGGGGAATGACAATATTTTACGACAGTCGCGACATGATATACGGGAAACATAAAAAGTTAGATCGCTGTTCCCAAAACTATTAAGCGGAAAACATACTTGTTAGCGTATGTTTATATGCGTATGTCCTGCGTATACATACTGCTTATACTTTGTCTCAAAACACATTACCTACGAGCAATGTCTATGCCTACGATAAAGAATACGACAATATTCTACGTAAAATATACGCATCTGACTCCTTTTAAGAATTTCCCATCGCGTATATGTACGCGTATGCGTCAGATGAGCGAATTCAATCGTATATGCATTCGTAAGTTTACACGCCAGCGCAATATGTGTTTTACCCAGCATTATTCTTATCAAATCGAATTTTTCGGATACGATAACGTTTTTAATGCAAATTGGCGTGTGTCACTCTCACGTGGGAGGGGCTGTAGCCGTATTCGGATAATATCCCAGGAAGGTAACATTGATACCATAAAATATTCAAACACTATAGCCTATGGCAGTCTGCATCTCAGCGTTGGCGTGTTATCTGGATATATGAATTATAAGATCATGGAACGATTGCCCACCCCCTGGTCATATACAATAATTGTTTTTAACTGTTTGACCTTATGTATGTGTATCATGCGACACCTTAATAAATTTTTTTTCCTTTTTTCTTCTTCTCTATGTTAGGAAGAGGGAGTGGGTGTACGCACGTTACGACTAACACACATTGACGTTTAACCCCCTGGGTGCCGATTTTCCTAAGATCGGAAAAGTGAAGGTTGTGCGAGAATTGCGCTCACACAGCACTGGATCTATCTCCGGCTATAAGATTACGCAGAGATGTAGAATATTTCCTATCTGATGGTGTAAAAAATGGCGACATTTACGATGTACCTAATTTTCAGAGGTCATTTTCAGTAATTTTGCTTGGCCTAAAATGCAAGTTGGTTCTTCCAAATTAATCACGTTTTTACAGTAAACCTAGTATTACAGATGCTACAGATTTAGGTAGATTATCGTAGAATTTCAACACCAGGGCCTAGATTTTGAAACGATCTTAGCCCTAAGATTATCGTAAAGTTATCGTAAGGAAATCGTAGGCTATCGTAGCCTATTTTCGAAACTATCGTAGCCCTAAGATATCTTTAGTTTGTCGTAAATCTAAGATAGCCCTATACCTGTCGTAAGTTTATTTTATCTTCATCCAAGATGGCGGCATACTTTTCCATAGATATTTTGCCAAACAATAAGTCTGCTTTACGTTCAAACATTGACATTTCATTTGGTAAAACTGAGTGATTCAAATTGACACTTCGAAAACAAAAAGAACACATCATGGATTTCGCGTCAAAAATTTTCTCAATCGCGACAGCGATCCACATAACTGTGGAGTCGATAGCTGACAATATATTTCTATCCGAGTCCATGCAGAAGAAGTGTGAAACAACATACCTTTTCGATAATTTGGGAGGGATAAAAAGGGAAGGTGTCGGCAGGCTACAGTAATGACCGTGACCTTGATAACTCAGGGGGAGCTAATCTTAGTTCAAACTCTAGTTGAGAGTGGTTTCCCTTTGTACTCGCCCGGGACACCTTGCTCAATGGTACAGTTTTCATAAAGCGCAGAGTTCCGCTGTTATATTTTCTGGATCGCATTTGTGTCAATGCTTTAGTCTTTATTTTCGCATTTTATAAAATTATATCAATCTACATATGTAAAAATAACCATAAAGGTTTCGCATAAGTTGTTACATCTAAAATCGTGTGGGACGGGTGGTTTTAATAATTGAATTTTAACTATACAGTGTAGTATTTATTGACTTAACAAGGAAATACATGTGATCAAATATTTGTTTTCAATATCTAATATTTTTCTTGCAAAAGTAATTGTAATTTGTTTCGTTTTAAATTCAATACCTATGTTATCTATATCATCTTGAAAGACAAATATTTGAAAAAAAAATGATTAAAAACTGTTTGTTGAACAATTGCATTCTTTAAAAACATTGATTAACGGCATATAGATGTATTCAAGTAAATATAACAATTTACTGAAATTTTGACAGTAAAAGTTAAGCACAGATTTTCGTATCGACAAATCAAATAAAAAATGGGTTCCCATGCTCGTTCTGGTTCTCGTCAAAATGTAGCATAGTTTGCAAATTCCAATATATGTTCGCAGAAAAAAAAGTTTATTGAATGAAATATACTGATCAATATAAAATACACATTTTCAACACAATAATCTTTGCATTCAATAAACCGGTTTTAAAATATTTTGGTGTTTTTAATATTTAAGTCTACATCTTCCCGTTTTATGTTTAAAAAATATATAGATATACTTGAGACCATTCAAACAATAAAATCGTTGTCACGTTTAGGGTCAACGGACAAATACTAGTAAATGATCCTCAGCAATGCTGTCAGACAAGCCAAACATCATTGAACTACGTTCTGGAATAGATTTGACACATTACAAAGTATTTCGCTCCTTAGTCAGATTTAAATGAAATCAGACAAATCAGTTTATTAGCTCTACTTAATTTAAAAGGATAGAAAATGACTACATTATATGTATGTTTACGTTAACTTGTGGCTTGTTCCATGAGACAACATAACTTGACAATTCCGAAATTATCTCTCTTTGCGAACGAAAATTAGTGTCACTTATAAATTTTGAAAAGAATTATGGATCTATATAGATAAAAAATAATTTCATCATCTAAATACTTATAGCTTGATATTGTATTTAAGTCCTTGGTTAATTCGTGAAATATATTGGATACATAAATAACAAAACAAACTTAACAAGCTTAGATTGTCATAAAATCTTGCTTGTGGGTGCGCAGCTTCCTGAACAATTTTTGTTTTGAGTGTTTCCACGTATAATGTTGGTGTTTACACTAATATAAACTTGACTTTTGACATAAACACAAATATATACAGTATACATCACTTAACATCAGACTTGAACACGCATGTTAAATGCTGAACGCATATGCTGTTCGATCAAAGGTCTCGCCATTGTCATTTAGAATAACGTCCCTTACTTTCGTCCTTGACTTTGTACGCGATGTGTTTGTATCATAAAGTTCTGCGCGGTCACGAGAGGACCATTTGAAGGGAAAATTGTGAAGTATCTTTTGGCACTTTATTTCCATTCTAATAGCTAAAGTGTGGTAACGCTATACTTATTGATTATAACATTTTTTGGCTTTAAAAAATGATATTGCATGGCACACGAATGCTTTTTGTGTTCGGTTAGTCATGGCATCTTTTATCATAAGAACAACACGTCTACATGTAGGACATATGTAGGATTGTACAGAATTTCACTCAAATATGTGCATGTTAAACAATGTGACCTGACAATGTGATCATGAATTCCGTGTCACTTATCTATGTTGTTGTTATTGTCAGCAGCTGGGAAATCCCCGTGACGTCATTGGGAAACACCTCGCTTTTTCAATCTCTAACACAAATGAGTTCCTTGTCAGAGTTACGATAGGTATCGTAACTCTGAACGATCTGCGACAGGTTTACGATAGTTTCGAAAATCTATCTTATCTTAGCCTTAAGATATCTTATCTTTGAACGTAAGTTGTTAAGATTTATCTTAGCTAAGATCGTTTCGAAAATCTAGGCCCAGTAATGCAGCAATGCAGGCAAAAAGATACTAATGGGAATCTTACATAGTTTAGAAACTTTCACTGATCTTTCATATAAAACCTTTTTAAAAATATTTGATACAAAAATTACTCCAATTCTTTTATATGGAGCAGAGGTCTGGGGTCATGCTGAATACAGAACTATTGAACAGGGCCTAGTTTTTCGAAACGATCGTAGCCCTAAAATTATCGTAAATTTATCGTAAGGAAATCGTAGGCTATCGTAGCATATTTTCGGAACTATCGTAGCTCTAAGATATCTTAAGATTGTCGTAAATCTAAGATAGCCCCATACCTGTCGTAAGTTTATTTTATCTTCATCCAAGATGGCGGCATACTTTTCCATAGATATTTTGCCAAACAATAAGTCTGCTTTATGTTTAAACATTGACATTTCATTTTGTAAAACTGAGTGATTCAAATTGACACTTCGAAAACACGAAGAAAGCATCAAGGATTTCACGTCAAAAATGTTCTTAATCGCGACAGCGATCCACATAACTGTGGAGTCGATAGCTTACAATATGTTTCTATCCGAGTCCATGCTGAAGAAGTGTGAAACAACATACCTTTTCGATAATTTGGGAAGGATAAAAACGGAAGGTGTCGGCAGGCAACAGTAATGACCGTGACCTTATTGATAACTCAGGGGGAGCTAATCTTAGTTCAAACTCTAGTTGAGAGTGGTTTCCCTTTGTATTCGCCCGGGACACCTTGCTCTATGTTACAGTTTTCATA